AGTGCTGTGACTACAGGTGTGAGCCACTGTGCCTAGCCTGCAGTGACTTTTTAAAACTTAAGTTCAAGCATCTCTTCTTAACTCCTTTAATTGGAGGTATCTCTTCTCTCATTCTCATCTTTGGTGTTTTCCCAGAGTTCACTGCTGACTGGATGTACAACATACATTTCAAAGTCAAGGCTGCCTGCAGTGGCTCGTGCCTCTAATCGCAGCACTTTGGGAGTCCAAGGCAGGAAGATTGCTTGAGTCCAGGAGTTCGAGATCAGCCTGACCAACAGGCAGAAACCCCATCTCTACTAAAAATACAAAAATTAACCAGGTGTGGTGGTACATGCCTGTAATCCCAGCTACTCAGGAGGCTGAGGCAGGAGAATCGCTTGAACACAGGAGGTAGAGGTTGCAGTGAGTCGAGATCGTGCCATCACACTCCAGCCTGGGCAACAAGAATGAAACTCCATCTCAAAACAAACAAACAAACAAACAAACAAACAAAACAAAACACAGAAACAAGAACAACTTTCTCGTGGAATAGTCTATGTGTGCCACCTACTTAACCTACTGAATGAAACCCAGATCCTTTCTTATCCTCCCAGTGTGGCACTCTTTCAAGGTTCAGACTATCCAGAAATAAAAGGACTGGAAATAGCAAAGGCTATGCATTTGTGTAGTTTGAGTCTGAGGATGTTGCCAAGATAGTTGCTGAAACAATGAACAACTACGTGTTTGGTGAAAGACTTTTGGAGACTCATTTTATGCCACCAGAAAAAGTACAGAAAGAACTCTTTCAAGACTGGAATATTCCATTTAAGCAGCCATCATATCCATCAGTCACACGTATCATCAGAATCGGCACTTACAAAAAAGCTATGGATGGAGGAGCGATTTAAAAGGAAAGAAGGATTACTCAGGAAGAAATTAGCTTAAGAAGGAAATGATTATGATGTTCCTTCTTTGATTTTACAGAAAATGGAAAGTATTTCAAAAACAAATCATCAGACATCTACAAAAGGCCAGGTTTTATGTAAGAAGAAGAAAAAGAAAAAAAAAAAGAAGAAGAAAAAGGTTTTAGGTACTCCTGAGAAGACTGTGGATACCCAGGGGCCCACACCGGTTTGTACATCAACGTTTTTGGAGAGATGAAAATCTGAAGTGGCTGAAATGAATTATGATGAAGATAATGAAATAGTTTTCAAACAGCCCATATCCTGTGAGACTCAAACACCTACACGTTCACAGAAGAAAAAAAAAAAGATGAAGAAAAAGCAATCCGTGATTTTCAATGTATTATATATAAGATTTCTTCTGAAAAAATATTTTTATGAGAAAAATACAAAAAATTAGCTGGGCATGGTGGCTCATGCCTGTAGTCCCAGCTACTCGGGAGGCTTAAAGGGAAGGATTACCTGAGCCCAGGAAGTTGAGGCTACAGTGAGCTGTGACCAAGCCACTGCTCTCCAGCCAAGTCAAGTCATTACATTTATCTTAGCCTATTCTAGGCTGACTTAAGTGGGATTTGTATTAAGAATACAATAGGCAACCTCACAGACATCTAAGTACAGAACTCAAAATAGGACCACACCATGGAACGGCTGGGGTGGGAAGTGATTTTCCTCTCCTGCATGCCTTCACTCTGGACTTCCACTCCATGCTTGTGCTCTGCTCTGCGGATGAACATTCGGCATGTGCTCCAGGCTCCTCCAGCCTCTGAGGCTTTGGCTTGCCCTGGCAGTACCCCTGGTCCCAGTGTTACTGGACCATATAGATGCTCCTCTGCAAAAAATCTATCGAACACTCTCTGTGTCATTTCCAATGAGCAGGAGAGAGAATCTGATCTGCCTAGCAGTGAGGGTGGGAGTTCCCTAGTTGTCCCTGGATTTGTAGTGCTGCCCTATCCAGAGACTCGAGGAGGGGCCAGATATCCAAAAAGAGGGTGTGAGTAGGGCATCAGTAATACAGTCTACTTCTACTAGAAAGTATAAAGTAGAGGCAGTGGCTCACACCTATAATCCCAGCACTTTAGGAGGCTGAGGCAGGTGGATCACTTGAGCTCAGGAGTTCAAGACCAGACTGGGAAACATAGAAAAACTCCATCTCTACTAAACATACAAAAAATTAGCTGCGTATGGTGGCACATACCTGTAGTCCCAGGTACTTAGGAGGCTGGGGTGGGAGCATTGCTTGAGCCCAGGAAGTAAGAGGCTGCAGTGAGCCAAGATCATGATGCCACTGCACTCCAGCCTGGGTGACAGAGTGAGACCGTGTCTCAAAAAAAAGAAAAGAAAAAAAAGTATAAAGTGGAAGCATCTGTATGCATGATTGAAGTCATGCTTTCCATCTATTTTTTCCACCTTCCCTTTTTTCTCTCTAAAACATTGTATCTTAAGCTTTTTCCTATGTTATCAAGTACTCATAAGCATTATTTGAATGGTTGTATCAGAATCCATTATCTGGACTCATTGTCATTTAGCCATCTGCAGTTGCTGGAGATACTGCCCTTTCTGCCACACTCAGTCACCCTTCTGACCTTGCTGTGTCCAGTTATCTACTAATACACACACTGGTCATTTAGGACTTAAAGTTAAGAATAGTTATCATGGTTTCTAACACTTCAAAAAGAATGTATCTTCCTAAAAATAGAATGGCTTGGAGTTTATACTATTAAAGCAAAATAGACAAATCGATGATGAAATTACTGTTTTACTTTCTTCTTGTGTCTATTTTCACTTCTCTGTCATTTTGATGGATACAGTTTCATTTGGAAGGATTTTTATTTCAAAACAGAAACAGTATATGACATGAGAATGGGAACTCTGAAAGGTTCAACTTTCTAGTTTACTAAGTTTGTCACAAAAGCTACTGATAGTCAATCATGATTGGCCTGTATTGAAAGTGAGTTCACATTATGTAAATCTTAAGCACTATACTTTCTATCAGATATAGAAAAATAGGTGGTGTGTTTGGAAAGGTATTCGGCTAGGAGTCAGGAAGCTTGACTGTTAGTCCCAGTCCTGCTTCTTCAGCTGAGCGCCTGTAGGTAATAACTCAGCAGCTATTTCTTAAATACCTAATGAATTTCAGGCTTTGTAGTTGGTCTGGGAATATAGACATAGATACTGCATTCATGATTCTCCAAGGCTCCCTTCCTCACCCAGCTCACAGTGAGCTTTCTTATGCATTGTGTAAATCTGTCTCCTAACAGTCCCCTACTGTGTCTCCAACCTGCTTCCCAGGGCAGTTGTGAGGATCAAATGAGGGAGACTATGTGTGAAAGCAAATTGAAAATGATTTTAAAATGCAATAAAAATATGATCCATGGAAAATTATATAAAGATCCTTAGAATTTTAAATAAACAGTACATTAGGCTGGGCACTGTGGCTCACACCTGTAATCCCAGCACTTTGGGAGGTCAAGACGGGCAGATCATGAGGTCATGAGATCGAGACCATCCTGGCCAGCATGGTGAAACCCCGTCTCTACTAAAAACACAAAAATTAGCTGGGCATGGTGGTGCGTGCCTGTAATTCCAGCTACTCAGGAGGCTGAAGCAGGAGAATCACTTGAACCAAGGAGTCAGAGGTTGTGGTAAGCCATCACGCACTGCACTCCAGCCTGGGTGCAACAAAACAACAACAAAATTACATTAACCTGAATTTTCTATGGTTTTGATTTTAAATAGATATGAAAATTTCACAATGGACCACTGATATGGTTGAAAATCTTGGCTTGGTTATTCTCCAAGAAAATGATACAGTGGTTTGTATGATTAATTTTCTAAAATTGCTAGCCAAAAGAAACCAAAGCCTTTTTTGAGTCAAATGACTGGATCAAAGGAGCGTTGAACCGTATAACGGAGAAATGTTTTCTGTGTTCACTAACAGCTTGCCTTTGTTTGATTCCAGCTGCAGCATATCATGAGTGATGACGTCTGTGAGCAGGTGACTGACCTATACCTGGCAGAAAATAATAATGGGGCCACCAGAGGCCAGCCAAACACACAGAACTCAAGGAGCCTCCTGGAGTCAATGTATCAGCAGAAAGTTGAGCAGCTAATGTCAGATAAGAATTGCTTTAAGGTGAGAGTGGCTCAGGTAGTCAAATTCCTTGCTGGTGACAATGTAAGTTGTTAGGATTCTCTGAACCAGAAGTTAAAGCCAGGGTACTCTGACCCCATGATTCTACTCCTGGAACTTTTTAGAGTTCTCAATGAGTTCACCAGAGAAATACAAAGTGGTAAGTAACTATCTTCCTGGACAATATACTTTGTTTCTTTCTTCCTTTTTTTTTTTTCAAAAAAAAAACACAAAAACAAAAAAACTAGTTATGTATGATTTTTACAATTTTGTATTCTTTTTCTCTGAACATTTATCATAGTACACTTTGTAAATACTATTGTTAGAAAAATGTTGGTGCATGAAATCTATGGTCATGGTCATTACAGAAAAGAAAACAGGCCTGGCACACATGGTTCACACTTGTAATCCCAGCACTCTGGGAGGCCGAGGTGGGCGGATCACTTAAGACCAGCTTGAGCAACATAGCAAAACCCCATCTTTGCAAAAAATACAAGAATCCAAAAATTAGCCAGGTATGGTGGCATGTGCCTGTAGTACCAGCTACTCAGGAGACTGAGGTGGGAGGATGGCTTAAGCCTGTGAGGTCAAGACTGCAGTGATCCCTGATCGGGTCACTGCACTCCAGCCTGGGTGACAGAGCAAGACCCTATGTCCAAAAAATAAAAGAAAAAAAATGCAGATAACCAAAACAAGTCATCTTAGAATTCTTTCCTGAAATTAATATTGATTACATTTCTAGACTTTTCTATGTTTGAGTATATATTTTGAAAAAGTTTATACTGGACAAATGGTTTTTAACTTTTTTTTGAGACAGGGTCATGCTCTGTTGCACAGGCTGGAGTGCAGTGGTGAGATCACGGCTCACTGCAACCTCTGCCTCTTGGGTTCAAGTGATCATCATGCCTCAGCCACCCTAGTAGCTGGAATTACAAGCATGTGCCACCACACTGGCTAATTTGTATATTTTTAGTAGGGCTGCAATCCCTGTGTGTCTCTGGGCCAGCAGGCTCTTCCCCTCTGTAAACCTCAATGTTCCCCTTCTACAGAATGGGCAGAATTTCCTTCAGACAATACTTGCTCATCTGTTGGGTCCATAGAGAGGAATGGGGCATAGAGCTTTAGCAAGGAGCTGGACAGAGGCCAGAAGCAGTCAAGATCAGAGGAATGAGAGGGTCCCGTCACCTCCCTGATTGCCCAGGACCTCACTGAGTCCTCACATGCATGCCAAGATCTGTCCCACCAAGTCAGGAGCAAAAACCCTCAGCTCTGTCCCAGTACCGGGGCTGTAAGAAACCCATATCTCCTCTTGGGGCCTCCTGATAGGATGACTTCTCCCAGCTCGTGCCATCCAAACAGGGAGAGCTGGTCCACGCCCAAGTTAGGAGAGCGCAGGGCAAATCAGTCCCCTCCAGCCACACACAGCCTGAAGCTGCTCTCCAAGGACCCCTCAGTCACAGAAGGTGCTGGTCCTCCTACAGTGCTGCCCCACACCCACCACCGCAGCCTCCTGGGGGTACAGTCAGGGGTGCCCTCCTTCGGGCTCTGCCCTCACACCCACTCCTACACAACTACTCTCCCTGTCGGCCGCCCCAGAGACCAGATTGGTTTGGGCCTCCACCTCAACAGGTCCGAACCACCATCTCTTCTGCTCCCCAGAAGGCCAGCTCCCGGCAGACAGGCAGTGTTCCCTCTTCATTCCACAACACAGAGGGCCCATCACAACCCTCTCAGCAGATGGTAGAGCTCCCCAAGCATCCTCTTAAAGAGGCTTCACCTTTGATGGCCACAAGCCCCAACATGACCTCCTCCCAGGGAGTGAATATGGACAAAATAAAACATAAAAGCAGCATCTATTAAATTACCAGCAACATTTCCTACTAGGATTAACTCTCGGAGTGAGCAGTGTATTCCATTAGATGGATCAGCGCAGGGGTTAGCAAGCGTTTTCTGTACAGGGCCAGAAGGAAACTCTTTAAGGCTCTGCAGACCACTGGCTTTTAGTCACCACCTACTCAAACCCTCCCCTGTAGCAAGAAATCAGCCCTAGGCAAGATGTCAACAATTGAGTGTGGCCACATTCCCGGGAAACTTTCTTTATGGACATGGAAGTTTGCTTGTCACGTACTTCTCATGTGTCACAAGATACTATTCTACTTTCCATGTTTTCTACCATTTAAACATATAAAACCCATTCTTTGCTCATGGGCCACATAAAAACAGGCAGCAAGAAATTTGACCGTTAGACCAGCAGTGGCTGACCCCTGGATGGAGTATTAGAGCTTGGGTGCGCGCCCCACCCCAGGGCTTCCAGGAGAGGGAGAGCAGGCTGATGCCGCCTCCACCCCCATCGCTCTAGGAGAGGAGGCAGAGCTGGTGCTGTATGAAGTTTGGCTGCAGATCCTGGGCCAGCCCTACACCAAGGCCTTGGAGGACAAAACCAGCCCTGAGTTCTGGGCACTTCAGGGGAGCTGACCAGATGGGTGAAGTGGGGGGATCGGGGAAGGGGCCTCAGGAAGATGGGGGATGACTGGACAAGGCTCTGGTAGAGCTGTGACCCTCTCCATCCTCTCCTGACACCCCAGCTGACCCTCGTCCTCAGACCTCTGCCGAACTTTGACCAAGTGGTGGTGGAGGAATTGCAGTGGGTCTGGGGTGGCCCTGGGTGACCCAGGGCTCAGACCTGGGTTCTGGGGTTGAGGGCAGGAGGCTGGAAGAGATGACCACCCTTAGGCCCCCCAGGCTGCCCAGACCCCTGAAGTCTGTGATAATCCTCCCACCAGGCTGGACCCACTGACCGCCAGAGTGGGTGCCACCTTCTTCAGCGCGGTGCCAGCTCAGGCTCTTGTGTGGGACTGTGTGTGTCAGGGTCTGCACACCTGCACACCCTGGGGGAGACAGAGGGCCTCTTGGTAGAGATGGTCATCCCAGACCTCGGTCAGTAACTCCTTCCCTCTGCAAGCCTCCTCCGTCTGTCCATTGGCCTCCTCCCTTGGGCTCGCTGCCTCCACATGCCCTAATCTGAAACCTGCCTCCCTTCCTCATGGAGCCCTCCAAGATGCTCCTAGCCCCAGCTCCCTGGTCCCACAGCAACTTCTGGGCCCAGATTCTGCCTTCTCAGAAGTCTGGGAGGCAGGGCCCCCGCCTGGCCATAGCCTTCTTTGTCTGCTCTAGGCACTCCTAGCCCCAACCTGCTGGACGCCTCCATCCCTGGCTATGCTGTGGCTCTTCTCATTCTAGGCCTCCTGCTTGTCACATTTGCCCTTGTCCTAGTGAGTGTCTGGCTGGGCCCAGACTCCTTCCTGAGGGTCAGGCTGAGCCTTTGATGCCTTGAGCACTCGAGCTAAGCTGAGGGGTAAGCAGGCCCCTTTACACCCCTGATTCCCTCACCCAAGCCCAGCATCTCCTCACCCTCCAGCTGGGGCTGCAGGGTTTGGGGTCAGGGAGCTGGGCCTGATCCCACTGTCCCTGCCCTTCTTGTCAAGGTGCTGAAGTGGAGGGCCTCCCATGGGGTGTTCAGCCTGGGAGCGTAGACGCGCACAGTGCAGCACAGAGGACCCTCTCCAGACAGGTAAGTGGTTCTCCCTGACCCCCGACCCTGCTTTTGTTCTGGGTGGGATCCATCACCACCCCTGCCAGGGCCTTCTGCAAACACTCCCAGGGGGCTACTGTCGGCAGTGCCTTGGTGGTGCAGTCAATGTGCCAGAAAAGCTCCCCACTACTGTGGAAAGTGGCTCAGGCAGTCAAGCAGACTCCCCCAAGCAGGCCCCACCTACCCCTAACCTGTTCCCAGTTGCCTCCCACCAACCCTAGAAATGATGCTGGGGGCCGACAGAGACTGAACTTAGGTGCACAGGGGGCCAGGAGACTTGGGACAGAGAACAGGAGGTGTGGGGAGGGAATCTTCCTTCCCCCACTTCCCACTGCATAAGGGCCAGACAGTGGCACCTCCAGGTCCTGGAAGGACATGTGTGGACCCAACTCAGTTTCCCCTTTGTCTCATGGCCTTTCTTCTCCCTTGACCAGGGCTAGGTGGATGTGGGAGGAGACACAGCACCATCCTGGGTGCACTCAGACTCATTCCTCACTCCTGGCCTTCACTCCCTTTCCTCTACACACAGGTGACCCCTCACGCTGCTGATCCCTCTGCTGAAACCCAAACTCCAAGCCTCTCCTCTCCCCACCTTCACCTTGTCCCACGGCTTCCACAGACAGTGCCTCAACCCTGAAGCACTGTCTGGGGTTGAGGGCAGGAGGCTGGAAGAGATTACCTGCCTTAGGTCCCCCAGTTCCAACACCACTGACTTTCCCAGGAACTCAGAGCCAGAGAGGGCCAGGGTCCAGCCCAAGGTCACACAGCCAGGGACTTCTTCCCTCCTACACCCCCAAGGACTGGACTTGCAGGGCTGGGGCAGAGGTGGGGTGGGGGAAAGCAATGCCTTGTCAACCCACACAGGGAACTCCACTCCCATCCCCAAGGTTCGTGAAGTCGAGGAACACCCCTGTTCCCACGTCCACGCTCACTCGGGGCCCTGCTCCAAGAGCTTGGCACTCACACCAGCCTCACGCCCTCCATGCCACAGGTATCGGTCTTCTTTACAGAGTGGTAAATGATGGCCAATACAGCTAGACCACACAGAGGACTTAGGCACAGCTCGGGGGTCCACAATCTCTGCTGTCCCTCCTGCCACCAAAGTGTGGTCCTGCTTCCAGGCAGCAGGAAGGGGACAGAAGCCCGCCCCAAAGAGGGCTGGGACAGGGCACCCTTACACCTGCCTAGTCTGGCCCAGTAGGGCTGGAGGGACTGTCAGTCCTAAGAGAAATGATGGCCCTTTGGGGGTATGGAAAAGTCAGGAAGCAATCCAAAGTTGGTATTTAAAATATTGATTTCTAGATACTTAGACAGGCATCTGGTATGAGGAGCTGGGAGGGCCCCAGGGTACAGCCCACAAGAGGAGGAAGACTAAAAAGGGGTCGGAGTGGGAATGGGGGCTGCTAAGGGAAGGCCCACCCCCCTGCCTGAACCCCTGAACCCAGCCACAGAGCCAGTCAGCCTCAGGCCAGAGGGTATGAGCAATGGGTGCCCTGGCTGCTCTACAGTGGATCAGAGCCAGAGGGTGTGGGGGGTCTTCCAGGGCAGGTGTGGGGCACAGGCCAAGGTAAAGCAGGCTCCCAGGGCAGAGACTGAGGCTGACCCCTGCAGCCCCCCTACTGCAGGGGGGGACACAGGGATAGGCAAGGGTCTTAACCCAGAAAGCCCCAGCAGCTCCTGTGCCCATTGACGCTTGGCGGTGGTGGAATCCAGGAATGGTCTTTGAACCCATGACCTGGAAGGGGGAGTCAAGGATAGTCCTGGCCCATAGGCTCCTCTACCTGCAGGCAGTGGGCAGGCCCAGTGAGGGGACCCCAGGAGCCCTGACCATGAGCTTACCTGGCCAAAGACAGCAGCCAGCACCAAGACATCAAAGAAGATTGTTGGACAGATCATCACATCAGGGTTGACTGCGGCTGGCACCAGATTCCTCTGTACTTCTGGAACACACAGGCCTCTCCTTCCTATCCCTGGCGCACCCCTGCCCCCACCCCAGCACCCCGAAGACCAGCCTAATAAATGAATTTGTCCTGGGTCAGCCCAGCTGTCCAAGCAACTGCAATTTCTCACTAGAGAGCCAGGGCGGGGCAGGGTGTAGGAGGGGTCCCCGGAAGATGCTCCCCAGGATGCCCCGAAGCCTAAAATGTTCCCCAGTGGGCCTTCTCAGGGAGGGAGGGTTATGGCAGCCTGTTCTCTCCAGCCACCTCCATCACCACAGGAACTCTTACAGGCGTCTCAGGAAACAACTGGCTCACTGGAGCCAGGACCAGCATGGACACAGTCCTGGGGCTGAGGCTGACTAGGTGGTCTCTCTGTCTTCACTCTGCCACTCTGTCTTCAAGTTTTGGTCTCCTGGCCCACTACAAGCCAGGCTGTTTCAGGCTTTTATGAGGCCTTACACAGAGACAGAGTTCAAACACAGTTGGTGAACACAGCGGGCTTTAGGGAGGTGGCACATACTTGGGGGTGGGGGCTGGGTAGCAGGGAAGGGCAGCTCTGGGGGCTAGCATGCCTGTCTGGAGGTGGCGCAATGGGACATGCACCATGTGAGGAGAGAGGGTCCACCTGGAAGAGTGGATCACTCAGATGGCCACCAAGCTGGATGGCCACCGGCAGAGCCTGCAGGACAGCAGAGGGGGCTGGGAAGGGACAGATGACAGCTGAGGGGCAGGGAACCTGTATTCCTCCATACAGACATGTGAGTCTTCCCTAAGTGGATCTTCCCCACGGGGGTGAGGGAGCATTCAATACACACCTCCAGCTCACCTCAAACCATCTCAGGAGGCCACCACCAACTCACACAGGCCAGCTGCATTGTCACAGTGACCCCAGAAGAGCACAGCCCTGTCCTTCAGATGAATAAACAGAGGGAGACACACATCTCACAGCCAGGAGCAGCGACTCAGACCAGGTCCAGCTGCAGTGCTGCCTCGATGGCTCCACCTGCACCTCCTCCAGGACTCAGTTCCTGCTAACAAGTGAGCACTTGAGTACAGGTGAAATAGGTGCTATTATCCCCATCTGGCTGCTGGGGAAAGGGAAGCAAGGCACAGGTGACTTACCCAAGGCCAAAGAGACAGGGCTGGTTCAACCCCATCTGTCTCGGCCAGCACATGCCCATGGCAGAGGCTTTACTGTGATCCAAACCTGGAAGGTGGAACTCCTTCCAATGTCCCACCCAGGGCACAGAGCATGCAGCCCCATGTTTGGGGAGGTGACAGTGTGGAAAACAATCTGACTAGGCCAAGGCCTCATGGAGCCCAGGGTTCCCTAGGGCCAGGAGAGCACTGGAGCCCACCCCAACACCCATTGGAAACCTGGAATCTGCACCTGCAGGAGATCAGGGGAGGGGTTCAGTCTCTGATGCACCTACAGCAAGGTGAGACAGGCACAGGTGGGCATCCTGCTTCCAACCAGCCTCAGGTGGGCAGGAAGCAGATCTCCTGCCTGACCTTCCTCTCCTGCCTCCCCCAAGCAGAGGAGAAGGGGCAGCCACCCATCAGGCCATTGCCCAGACTGAAGCCGCTGAAGCTAGGTCCCAACAGGCGAGTGTGACCCCTGACTATCCCAGGCCCGGGCCAAGGCAGTCCTGTCTCTGGTGAGGGCCTGGTAGACAGGAGATGTGATGTCCCCACGTGGCTCTATAAACCTCTGATTGAGGATAATCAAGGAAACAGGCAAGACCATCAAGCTCAGCCAACAACACGACGGGCACCAGGGGCAGGCAAAAGTCAGTTTGGGCCCAGGCCTAGCCCCTGGAAGGATGGTGGATGAGGGGTCAGCCACGGTGAAGGGGAATGGATGGCCACGGGCTGGGTGGTCAGGGCTGTCAGCTCCTGCAGCCCCAGCAGAACATCTGCCCTGGCCTGGCTCTGCACTCAGCCTTCTGCCTGGAGCCACAGGTGCCTGAACACTGGCCTCAAGTAGGGATGGAGGGAGGAAAGGCACTGTGGCCACATGCGGGCATCTAAGCATGGGACAGAGGGGTATCGTGCCCTGAAGAGATAATACAGGCCAACAACTTAAGCAGATGTGACACCATCAATAAACCCCCTTGTCCTGGGTCACATCAATTAAGTCAGCGCCTACCCTGACCCTGAAGCTGCGGCTCAGTCTGGTTGAGACACACAAAGAGATGTTACTGCTGGGCAGGGGGCCTGGCCCAGCCTGTGATGTCCAGCAAAGCTGTGGGCTGGACAAGAATCTCTGAAGATTAGTCCAGGACAAGGACAGCTGTGCCTGGGCAGGGAGTGGCGGCAATGCCCAGGGGGCAGGAGGCCTGAGGATCTTTAACTAGGTAGGGTGCCAGGTCAGGACATGCAGAAGAAAAGGTGGCATGGCAGCATCCTGCCTGAGGCCAGGCTATAAACCTAGGGGCCGCCTTGTCTAGCCTAAACCATGCTGCCGCCCAGATGCCATCCTTCAAATGTGAGGCAGGGCTGGGAGAGCCCCCTGCCCCCTCATCCCTCCCGCCCCAAGCTGGTTCCCATCCCTCACCAGAAGGAAAGGGAACTCTTCTATGGGGCACAGAATGCCAGGTTCTCTATCACCTGGTGGAAGGGACGGGGGCAGGGGGAGTTGCAGCTGGGTGAGAAAGAACCCAGGTCCCACTCTGTCCTTTTCTTTGCCTGGGGCCAAGGAGAGTCACAGGGGAAGGGCCAGATTAAGAGGGATCCACCCTGGAGCCCAGAGCTACCCAGAGAGAAAACCTCCCATCCTCCTGATTCTGCTCCCAGCTCATGCTGCTGGGATAACATCCTCCCCATCAGAGAGGCTGGAGGAGGCAGAGGCTGACCCTGCTCCGTCAGGCACCTCAGCGGGTTTCAGTCCACCTTCATCATGATCAGGAAGGGGGTCCCAGGGATCACAAATGTGAGGGGCAGCTTCTTGGGCTCCATGTGCTCCAAGGTAGACCCTGTAGGGCACCAGGGCTAGAAGGGTGTTGGGGAGGCCAGGCACGGTGGCTCACGCCTGTAATCTCAACACTGAAACGCTGAGGTGGGTGGATCACGAGGTCAGGAGATCGAGACCATCCTAGCTAACACGGTGAAACCCCATCTCTACTAAAACTACAAAAAATTAGCCAGGCGTAGCGGCATGCGCCTGTAGTCCCAGCTACTCAGGAGTCTGAGGCAGGAGAATCACTTGAACTCAGGAGGTGGAGGTTGAACATGGCCAGGATCTGAGCTCTGCATGGCCATGGTGACCCTGAGCCAGGTACCCCTACATTAGTCTCAGTTGTAACTCTGTCTCATGGTTAATGTCAGCCCTAGGTAAGCCAGGGTAACCAGAGTTCCCAGTAGGGACCAAGACCAAAGGATGCAGGGGTCAGGCCTGTCCCAGAAGGTCAGGCTAGATGGGGATCTGTGAAGCCAGGGCAGCCAAGGGCCTACCCTTCAGGTTACAGGTATATGGGTCCTGGTGTAGACCCTCACATGCCATCCAGAGACCCAACCCTAGGGACAGTTCCTCTCAGGCTGGTAGCAGAGAGTTGGTCCTTGTACTCATGCCACCAAAAGCTCTGAAATGAGGGGGCCTGTGGCTCAGGGAAAGACTGTTCAGGAAAAGGTTCTCAGGGACAGGGAAGGTTTGAGCTGGGTCTTAGGGCAGCCAGAGAGGTAGGTGACAGGCCCTCTCACAAAGCCCACCAGAGAATGCAGGAGGGACACAGGTGTAGTGTCGGGAATGTTCTGGAAGACAGGAGGCAGTCTCCCACTCACAGATGGAGCCAAGTAGTGAGGTCAGGTCCACACACCAGGAGAAGCTGGTATCCACATGCTGGTGCACTTTGTTTCTTGTTTTAGAGACAGGGTCTTGCTCTGTTGCCCAGGTTGGAGTGTGGTGGCTCAATCATAGCTCACTGCAACCTTGACCTCCTGGGTTCATGCGATCTTCCCACCTCAGCCTCCTGAGTAGCTGGGACCACAGGTGCACGCCACCATGCCTAGTTTTATTTTTTGTAGAGACAGGATCTCGCTATGTTGCCCAGGCTGGTCTCAAGTGCTTTCCACCTCAGCCTCCCAAAACACTGGGATTACAGGGACAAGCCAGTGCTCCTGGCCATGCTGGTGCATTTTGGTTGCCGTGGTGCACAGGAGGTATGAGCTTGGAGGGCAGAATCTGCTCCTGGACCTCTACCCAGGCCTGCACCCAGACTGACCCCTGGGCTGCAGGGAGCAGGTGTAAAGAGAATGCAGTGAGCAGAGCTGGCTAGCCAGTGATGGAGACCCAGGCTGGGACTAGGAGAGGTAGGGCTCCAGCCCTCAGCCTAGTGGCCCTGCCCAACCCCTTGGGGCCAAGATGACTTCCTAGGAAGCCAGGCATGGAGGCCAGCATGCACCTGAACTGAGGACAGAAGACTCTGATGAGAAGGAGGGGGAGGCCTCTGACATAGTTTGGATACTTGTCCCATCCACATCTCATGTTGAAATGTGATCCCCAATGCTGGAGGTGGGGCCTACAGTGTGAGGTGTTTGGGTCATGGTGGGGGATCCCTCATGAATGGATTAGTGTCCTCCCCACGGTAATGAGTGAGTTTTCTTATTTTTTCTTTTTTTTTTTTCTTTTTTTTTTTTTTTGAGACAGCATCTCACTCACAGCCCAGGCTGGAGTGCAGTGGCACGATCTCGGCTCAGAGGAACCTCCACCTCCTGGGTTCAAGTGATTCAATGAGTGAGTTTTCTATCAGTTCACTGGAGAGCTGGTTGTTTAAAAGAGCCTGATGCCTCCCCTCTCTTGCTTCCTCTCTCACCATGCAACACGCCTGCTCCCTCTTTGCCTCCCGCCAGGAGTAAAAGCTTCCTGAGGCTTCACCAGCAGCCTAGCAGATGCTTGTACAGCCTGCAGAACTGTGAGGCAAAGAAACCTCTTTTATAAATTACCCAGTCTCAGGGCCAGGAGTGGTGCTCACACCTGTAATCCCAGCATTTTGGGAGGCCAAGGCGAGTGAATCACTTGAGGTCAGGAGTACAAGACCAGCCTGGCCAACCTGGTGAAACCCTGTCTCTACTAAAAATACAAAATTAGCCAGGCATGGAGGTGTATGCCTGTAATCCAACCTACTTCGGAGGCTGACACATGAAAATTGCTTGAACCTGGGAGGCAGAGGTTGGAGTGAGCCGAGATCACACCATTGCACTCTAGCCTGGGTCACAAGAATAAAACTCCATCTCAAAACTCTGTCTCTACTAAAGATACAAAAAATTAGCCAGTCATGGTGGTGCATGGCTATAATTCCAGCTGCTCAGGAGGCTGAGGCAGGAGAATAGCCTGAACCCAGGAGGCGGAGGTTGCAGTGACCTGAGATTGTGCCACTGTACTCCAGCCTGGGCGACAGAGCTAGACTTCCTCTCAAAAATAAATAAATAAACCAGTTTCAGGTATTCCTCTAGTGCAACGCAAAATGGGCTAATACAGCCTTCACGCTTGGTGTCCACTGGACCTGACAATCAGGGAAGGGCTGGTCTTGACTCTGCCACTAACAGGCAGACTATGACAGAGTTGTTCCCCTGCTCTGCCTCAGTTTGTCCTCTCTCAGCTGAGCAGAGCAGGGATAATTGCTTCTCATGTGGGCCACAGGACAAAACAAAGCCCTGAGTCCCACAGGAAGGTAGGTGGGCTACATCCAAGGGCAGACAGACCTGGGGCATTATTTTATGTCCCCGGGCTGGCAGAGGGACATGGAGAAGATGCCTCCTTTGTGGGCAAGGGAGAAGGGAAGATAAGCAGAGAGCCGCCAGACACCTGCCTCACCCCCACCTCCCCCACCCCACACCAGGCCCGTTCCCACTTAGCCCCCAACTCAGGCTGCACCGTTCTCCTTATGGTCAGGGTGACTTCGTGGCCAAGCTGACAGAAGCTGACAGCTTGGATTCATCAGGGACAGCATGTAGTGTAGGTGATGTGCAGGATGGAAGTGGGAGGGGACACGGAAACCATGGTGTCAGGTCTGGGGCTGCCAACATGGTACCTGCCCTGGCTGTGGGCAGACCATGCTGGTCCACCCTGCCAGATGTGGCCTCTAATCCTAAGGTCTCTGAGTTCCAAGCCAGGACTGGAGCCAGACTCCCTTTGGCGGCAGGGGACACAGTCCACATAGACATCGCTTGTGCTTTGGGCAAAGCCAGCTGGACAAGTGAATGGGAGGGGCCCCGCTGGAGGGTAAAACTGGGCCTGGACTACTCAGACCTGCCTCTGTGACAGGACGGTCCCGTCCTTCCAGTCAGACGCCTGAGCTGGAAGCCCACCCAGCCAGGGAGTGGGGAAGGGGTGGCCTGCAGTCTCCCTTGAGTCTATAGCCCCTCCCACCCAAGGGAGCTCCATAAAAAAAGATGCAGAAACATCAAGTGCTCCTCCCCGCTGCTGGCCACTTCCTGGCATGGCCTCCAGGACCCTGGATGAGTTAAGATGGGGCTGCCAGCAGCTGGGGGCAGGGGGAAAGCTGGGTCCCCAGGGTGGATACCTAGCAGGAACATGCAGGTGTGGCAAGTGATGGGCCCTGAGCCCCTTCTGCCCAGGGGGCCTTGGTGACACACCTGCTGCTGAGCTCAACCCAAGGAGTCAGGGCCTCATGCCAAGCAGCCTCTCTGCTTGCGAAGACAGTCCTGGGATCATTACCCCTCTGCCCAGGGCTCAAGTATCCAGGCTGTGGAAGGACCAGCAGTCAGAAAGAGGGAGGCCGTGGGTGTGGGTCCCCTAGCAGTCAGGGGCCTTGGTGGACAAAGCCCCTGTGAGGGGGATGAGGGGGAAGGGAGACTGAGCTGTACCCCCCACCCTGAGATCTGTGGTACTGGGCTCCAGAGGGGGACCTGGGGGGAGACCAGCATGAGACAAACTGCTACTGATGCCTTTGAGCACCTACTCTGCAGGGCTGGGCCAGCCGGAGGTTGGCATCAGAGGAGTAGGCCAGGGGCCACAAGAAATAAGGCTTGGTTTGGTAGAGCTGTGACCCTCTTCATCCTCTCCTGACCCCCCAGCTGACCCTCATCCTCAGACCTCTGCAGAACTTTGACCAAGTGGTGGTAGAGGAATTCTAGGGGGTCTGGGGTGGCCCTGGGTGACCCAGGGCTCAGACCAGGGTTCTGGGGTCGAGGGCAGGAGGCTGGAAAAAATGGCCTCCCCTAGTCCTGCAAGGTTGTGCAGGCCCCTGAAGTGTGTGATGATTCTCCCACCAGTCCAGATCCACTGACCGCTAGAATGGGTGCCACCTTCAGGCTGGCACCAGCCTGGGCCCTCAGGTGGGACTGTGCGTGCCAGTGTCTGCACACCCTGGGGGAGGCAGAGGGCCTCTTGGTAGACACGGTCATCCCAGACCTCGGTCAGTACCTCCTTCCCTCTGCAGGCCTCCTCCCTCTCTCCATCTGCCTCCTCCACATGCCCTGATCTGAAGCCTGCCTCCCCTGCTCATGGAGCCCTCCAAGATGCTCCTAGCCCCACTATCTGGTCCTGCAGCACCTTCTGAGTGCAGATTCTGCCTTCTCAGAAGTCTGGGAGGTGGGGCCGCGCCTGGTCATAGCCTTCTTGCTCTGCTCTAGGCACTCCTGGCCCCAAAGCCTCCAGCCCGCTGGACACCTTCATCTCCAGCTATGCCGTGGTTCTCCTTATCCTGGGCCTCCTGCTCGCCATAGTTGCCCTTGTCCTGGTGACTGTCTGGCTGGGCCCAGGCTCCTTCCTGGGGGGCAGGCTGAGCCTTTGACACCTTGAGCCTTTTAGCCAAGCTAAGGAGATTCCCCCACCCAAGCCCAGCATCTCCTCATCCTCCAGCTGGGGCCGAGGGGTTTGGACCAGAGGGGTGGGCCTGAACCCAGTGTCCCCGCCCTTCTTGTCAAGGTGCTAAACTGGAGGGCATGCCTTGGGTGCTGACTTTCCCAGGAACTCAGAGCCAGAGAGGGCCAGGCACCAGCCCAAGGTCACACAGCCAGGGGTTTCTTCCCTCCTAGACCCCCAAGGACTGACTTGCAGGGCTGGGACAGAGGTGGGGTGGGGTAAAGCAATGCCTTGTCAAGACAGGGAGCCCGGCTCCCATCCCCAAGGTGCATAAAGTCGAGGAACACCCCTGCTCCCATGTCCATTCTCACTCAGGGCCCTGCTTCAAGTGCTTGGCACTCACACCAGCCTCCCGCCCTTCATGCCACAGGCATCGGTCTCATTTACAGAGGGGGAAATGGTGGCCAAGAGCCTCCCCCAGGACAGACAGCTAGACCACACAGAGGTCTTAGGTGCAGCTGAGGGGTCCACAGTCTCTGCTGCCCCTTCTGCCACTCATGCTGCAAGAGACCACACTGTGGAGAGGGAGGAACGAGAGTGAGCTGGGTGCTCACACATGGGGCATGGGGGACTAGGGAAGGTTCAGCCAGGAGGAAAGAGCAAAGCCTGATCCTGTACGTACACATCACAGAGCCCACGGATTCAGAAGACCCAGGGCCAGGTCCCAGCTCTGCGGCTGCTCAGCATGTGACCATGGTTAAGTCGTCTCCCTGGACTCCCCATGCACTTTGCATGCTGCGAGAACCTTCTAGAATGAGCGCAGACACTGGCTGGGCTCATACTTACTGCATAGGTTGCAGACCCCAAGTGCTTCTGCAAGGGGCTTTGCTTCTCCTCATAAGAGTGGCACAGGCTGGCCACATGCTCTGGGGGTAGAACGGAGTAGCTCTGGAGGTAGCAGGTGGGAGCTGGGCTTGGGTTCCTGGCCCAGACAGGGCAGGGTACACCATAGGGTCACAGGGCCTGGCCCCCTCTCTAGCAGCCCTTGGCCCACAGGCTGCCCAGCTGCCCACCCACAACCCATACCTTTGGGCAGCCCCAGCTGCTGCAGTTCACTGGACAAGCATCCACCATCGACACTGTGCTTGGCCGCACTGGAGAGGATGAAACAGCACTGCCACTGTGGCCTTCACATCGCCTGACTCTGAGGGACCTGTGGGTGGGACAGGGGGTTTCACTGTGGCCCCAGCCACTCCCTTTTGCCCTATTAACTTCAGCTCAAAGCCCCCAGGCCTTCTGGAGCCACAGGCACTGCTACTGCTCCCCCAGGAGCTGGCAGAGGACAGGAAGGTGGGACTGTCAATGTCTTTCCTTCCCTCATGCTCCTCCACTAGGGAAGGTAAGTTAAGGATGCTGCTGGGAGGGGTGGGGGGCCCCTCTGTACCAGGAACCAGGCTGAGGTCCCAGGGTTGCCTGGGGCCTGTGAACTTAATGGGGTACTCACCAAACTTGGCCATGAGCTTCAGGATCTTCTAATACTATGAGGAAAGGAGACCTTCAGAGGCTGCCAGTACTCTATTCACCAGCCCCTCACCCCTAGCCTGGATCCTGCAATAAGGAACAGAGAGGCTGGAAAGAAGTATGGGTGGTGCCCAGAGAGGTTGACAGGCTGGGTCACCCATCTCCCTGGGCCTAGTGCAGAGCTTCAGGGCACTGGGGGTCATAAGGTCATGGGACAATGGGGTGCTGGGTCTTGTACTCACATCATTCCCCCGTCCCAGCAGCTCTTTAGTACCTGGCTGCAGAGCAGCTGCAACTTCACAGAGGACTGGAAGGGAAGTCCTTACATCAGCCAGGCTGGCGAACCTCACCCCTCCTTCCTGGGGACTGGCTCAGAGCAGGCCAGCCACTGATCACGGTCACAAAGCATGGTAGCACAGGCTGAGAGCACTGAGGCCCTAACCCCAGAGAAAACTCACCATCATCTACACCCACAATCCCCAGACCCAACGCCCCTCCTCCACCCAGACTAGACCCTGTGCACTCAACCATCTTAGCCAGCTGCTGATCTCTGCCAGGACCCAGTCGGGACAGTCCAGATCACCACAGAACCGGAACCTCTGAAAGGGAGGGAGGCAGGTAATTAGGCTGGAGGGAAGGCTGAGGTATGGCCAGGATCCGTGTCTCCCACACTTCTGTCCAGCAGGGACCCCTGGTCCCCATCATAGATGGATGCCCTCTGGCCACTTGTTCTCCCCTATCACCAGGCTGTTGAGTGAACTCTCTCCTGACCCACCCTGCCACCAAACCCTGCTCTGAGGTCTACTCCAGGCATTCATCTGCTCAGCAAACATCAATTGAGTGCCTTCTCTGTGCTAGCTCCCACTCTAAGTGTTGGGGTACAGCAGGGGATAAAACAAAGTCCCGGGCCTCACAGAGACGAGTGACCTCTCTCCTCTTCCCCATACCCACACAAGTCCAGCCACTCCGGCTTCCCTGCTCCTGCTCAGGGACACCAGCCTTGCTCCCGCTGCCATGCCTGCTGCACTCTCTGTGTGGCTTGCTATCTTTGATTTCATTCCACTCTCTGCTCAAGTCACACCTCATCAGACCAGTCCTATTTATTTATTTATTTATTTACTTATTTATTTATAAAGATGGAGTCTCACTCTGTTGCCCAGGCTGAAGTGCAATGGTACAATCTTGACTCACTGCAACCTCCGCCTCCTGGGTTCAAGCGATTCTCCTGTCTCGGCCTCCCAAGTAGCTGGGACTACAGGCATGTGCAATCATGTCTGGCATTTTTGTATTTTTAGTAGAAACAGGGTTTCTCCACATTGGCCATCTTGACCTCAAACTCCTGATCTCAGGTCATCTGCACAACTCAGCCTGCCCAAAGTGCTGGGATTATAGGCATGAGCCATTGCACCCTGGCAGGCTGGCCCTTCTTGATCATACTTCCTGAAATAGCCCCTCACACATGGAAATTTTGGGGGTGGGTGGATGTGTTCATTATCTTGATTGTGGTGATCCAAGAGCCAGGAATATTCGGTCTTTACTTGTTCAGCCTCATCTTTCCCTAACCTCCAGGTGATACTCTCCCAGCTACGGGAATTGCATTCATTCCTGGGGAGCCATGCTCTCTCTCACCTGAAGTTTCTGCACATGCCATTCCCTGTCTGAAAACACACGCCTCCACCTGGCACACATAAGGGAGGAAACCACCCCTCATATCGTCTTATGCCCAATTTCTGCCTCCCAACTCCTGGCACACATAAGGGAGGAAACCACCCCTCATATCGTCTTATGCCCAATTTCTGCCTCCAAAGAAAGAAGAAGTAAAAACTAAAAGGCAGAAATGAAATCCACAGGCACACAGCCTGGCGCCACACCCTGGGCCTGGTAGTTAAAGATCGACCCCTGACCTAAACAGTTATGTTATCTATAGATTACATACATTGTATAGAAATGCACCATGAAAATCCCTATCCTGTTTTGTTCCGATCTAATTACTGGTGCATGCAGCCTCAGTCACTTACCCTCTGCTTGCTCAATCAATCACAACCCTCTCGCATGCAGAGTTGTGAGCCCTTAAAAGGGACAGGAATTGTTCACTCGGGGAACTCGGTTCTTCAGACAGGAGTCTTGCCAATGCCCCTGGCCGAATAAACCCCTTCCTTCTTTAACTCAGTGTCTGAGGAGTTTTGTCTGCGGCTTGTCCTGCTACATTTCTTGGTTCCCTGACCAGGAATCAAGGTGATTGGCAGATGGTCGAGGCAGCTCCTTAGGCGGCTTAAGCCTGCCCTGTGGAACATCCCTGCAGGGGACTCCAACCAGACCCAGCCATATGGATCCTGAGAGCACTCCCAGGTAGGCATTTGCCCCCATGGGACACCTCGCCAGAGCAGTGTGTGGCAGGTCCCCGTGGAGGATCAACGCAGTGGCTGAACAATGGGAAGGAACGGGCACTTGGAGTCTGGACATCTAAAACTTGGTAAGACTAGTCTCTGAAACTTGCCCACTCCGTTTGAGTGGAAGCATGGCCTGATCACCCATGGCATGCCTTCATTGGCACTTTGGTTTTGGTTTTGACTTGGTTTGAATTGCTTGATAGGATTGGTCTTAGGAACTTGCCCACTCTATTTGAGTGGAAGTGTGGCCTGATCACCCACAGCATGACTTTATCGGCACTTTGGTGTTTTGGTTTTGACTTGGTTTGAATTGCTTGACAGGATTGGTCTTGGGAACTTGCCTACTCCATTTGAGTGGAAGCATGGCCTGATCACCCACCGTGTGCCTGTACCGGCACTTTGGTTTTTGTTTTTGACTTGACTTGGATTGCTTGATACTTTGGTTTTGGTTTTGACCTGGCTTAGATTTCTTGATACTCTGATTTTGGTTTTGATTCTGGTTTGGCATAAACTGTAAAAGTGTGTGTGTGCCCTTTTTACCCATTCTTTGTTTTGTGGTGTGTGTGTGTGGTGTGACTGTGGTGTTTTGTCTTGAGGAAACATGGGTCAGGCACAAAGTAAGCCCACCCCACTAGGAACTATGTTGAAAAATTTCAAAAAGGGATTTAAGGGAGACTATGGAGTCACCATGACACCAGGAAAACTTAGAACTTTGTGTGAGATAGTCTGGCCAGCATTAGAGGTGGGTTGGCCATCAGAAGGAAGCCTGGACAGGACCCTTGTCTCAAAGGTATGGCACAGGGTAACCTGTAAGCCAGGGTACCTATATCAGTTCCCATATATAGATTCATGGTTACAGCTAGTTTTGGACCCCCCACAGTGGTTAAGAGGACAGGCAGCAGCAGTACTAGTAGCAAAGGGACAGTTAGTTAAGGAAGGTTCTCGCTCCAACTGCCGAGGTAAGTCGGCACCAAAAGTCCTGTCCGACCCAACACCAGAAGAATCATGGCAGGAATTTGTATGAGGAATACCCCCTCCTTATCGGGAGGAAGGACTCCCCACCCCTGAGCCCACAGCATCTCCACCTCCACCAGATAACCACACCCCCTAGACCACCCAGAGTAGAAAACAGAGGAAGTGAAGGTGCGGGAGAAACTCCTCCCTTGGCAGCTCACTTATGGCCCAAGACTGCAATCCAAATGTCCCTGAGAAAGCAGTGATATACTGGGGTAGATGAGGATGGACACATGGTGGAAAGGCGTGACTTTGTGTATCAACTTTTCACCTCTGCTGACCTCCTCAATTGGAAAAGTAATACTCCATCTTACACTGAAAACCTCAAGCTTTAATTGACTTGCTCCAAACAATTAAACAGACTCATAATCCTACTTGGGCTGATTGCCACCAGCTGCTCACGTACCCCTTTAATACAGATGAAAGGCGAAGGGTGCTCCAGGCGGCAACTAAGTGGCTAGAGGAGCACATCCCAGCCGATTACCAAAACCCCCAAGAATATATAAGAATTCAACTGCCAGGAACAGACCCCCAATCTGACCCAAACGAGGGACCAGACATGGAGAGGCTAAGATGGTACCGTGAGGCATTAATAGAAGGTCTAAAGAAAGGGGCTCAAAAGGCTACAAATGTATATAAGGTCTCTGAGGTCATCCAAGGAATAAAGGAGAGTCCAGCGCAATTCTATGAAAGACTGTGTGAGGCTTACCATATGTACACTCCTTTTTATGCAGATAGCCCTGAAAATCAGCGCATGATTAACATGACCTTAGTTAGTCAAAGCATGGAAGATATCAGGAGAAAATTGCAGAAACAGGCTGGGTTTGTGGGTATGAATACCTCACAGTTACTGGAAATAGCCACTCAAGTACTTGTGAATAGAGATGCAACAAGCCATAGAGAAAGCTGTAAGGAAGGCGAACGCCAGGCTAGGCAAAATGCCGACTTACTGGCCATGGCCATTAAGGGAATTCCCCTGAAAGGAGAGGGAAAGGGGGGTTCCAGGAAGAATACCCACTAATCGCCCACACTTGCAACATAACCAGTGCTCCTATTGTAAGGAAATAGGACATTGGAAAGATAAGTGTCCCCAACTGAAGGAAAAGCAAGGTGGTTTGCAACAAGAGACCTTAGATAAAGACGATGGAGCTTTGTTCAATCTGGCTGAAGGGTTATTGGACTGAAGGGGACTGGGCTGAAGTGCCCACAAGGAGCCCGCATTCAGGATTACAGTTGGGGGCAAGGACATTAAGTTTTTGGTTGATACTGGTGCTGAACATTCAGTAGTGACCACCCCAGTTACCCCCTTATCCAAGAAAACCATTGATATAATCAGAGCAACAGGAGTTTCCACTAAGCAGGCTTTCTGTCTACCATGGACCTGTTCAGTGGGGGGACATGAGATAGTTCACCAGTTCTTATACATGCCTGGCTTGTCCCTTGCCCTTGCTCAGAAGAGACTTGCTTAGCAAGCTGAGAGCCACCATCTCCTTTACAAAACAGGGCTCTTTACGGCTAAAGGAACAGGAGTTATCATGGCCCTTACAGTCTCCCAGGAAGAAGAATGGAGACTTTTTCTAACTGTGCCAGGCCAAGAGATAAAACCAGCTCTAGCTAAGCAATGGCTCCGAGTATAGGCAAAGGATAATCCTCCAGGACTGGTGGTCAACCAAGCCCCCGTACTCATAGAAGTTAAGCCTGGGACCCAACCAAATTAGACAAAAGCAGTATCCAGTTCCCAGAGAAGCTCTCAGAGGAATCCAGGTTCATCTAAGGTGCTTGAAAGCCTATGGAATTATAGTTCCTTGCCAGTCTCCATGGAACACCCCCCTCCTGCCTGTCCCTAAGCCAGGGACAAGGACTACTAGCCAGTACAGGACTTGTGCTTGCTCAACCAAGCTACAGTGACTCTGCACCCAACAATTCCTAACCCTTACACACTGTTAGGGCTGCTGCCGGCTGAGCACAGCTGGTTTACCTGTCTGGACTTAAAAGACGCCTTCTTTATCGTCAGAATAGCTCCTGAGAGCCAGAAGCAGTTTGCCTTTCAGTGGGAAGATCCGGAGTCAGGTGTCACTACTCAGTACACTTGGACCCAGCTTCCCCAAGGGTTCAAGAACTCTCCTACTATCTTCGGGGAGGCCCTGGCTCGAGACCTGCAAAAGTTTCCTGCTAAAGACCTAGGCTGCGTCTTGCTCCTGTACGTGGATGACCTGCTGCTGGGACATTCCATGGCAGTTGGGTGCACAAAAGGGACTGATGTCCTGCTTTGGCACCCGGAGGACTGTGGGTATAAGGTGTCCAAGAAGAAAGCTCAGATCTGAAGACAGCAAGCAGGTACACTACCTGGGATTCACTATTCGGAAAGGGGAGGGCAGCCTGGGGTCAGAAAGAAGGCAGGTCATCTGCAGCCTGCCGGAACCAAAAACCAGAAGCCAAGTAAGGGAATTCCTAGGAGCTGTGGGGTTTTGCAGATTATGGATTCCAAACTTTGCAGTACTAGCCAAACCTTTGTACAGGGTTGTGAGCGGCAAGCCACCCAGGTGCTGAGGCAAGAGACCAAGGGCACAAGCTGTTCCAGTATAATAAAATATATAAAATAAGAATAGTCATATAAAATACAGATAATAGATATGATTATGTATGAATATCATTAATCATTAGTTTGTAACAATTACTATTTATTCCAATATTATAATAATCCTTGCTCTATAATTATAACCTAGCAAAAACCAGGCCAAACAGAGATAGGAGC